ACTCAGCAGAGTCGATTGATTCATGAGTTCGCCCGGATGCAGATCCAGCTGGTTGATGCACTTCCTACCGCCAGTTTGGGAAGTGTGAGTTCCATGCAGGTCCAGCTGACATTGAGGGAGAGAATCCGGCAAGAGCAAACTTTAGATGAGTTCGTTCGTACGATTGATGCTAAGGTTCGTGCCGGAGGCGTCGAGGGTTTTCACCAAGGCATTGATGGGGCCTTAGAGTTTTGTGGCAGGATTGTGGTGCCGAAAGTCGAAGCATTGAGGAAGGAGATTTTATCTGAGGCTCACACTGCACCCTATCTAGCCCATCCAGGAAGTACAAAGATGTACCATGACCTGAAAGGGTCGTTTTGGTGAAAGGGATTAAAGAAAGACGTTGCCGACTTTGTAAGAAGATGTTTAACCTGTCATCAAGTCAAGGCCGAGCATAAGAGTCCGATAGGCCTTCTACGACCACTATCAATTCCGAGGTGGAAGTGGGAGGAGGTTGCGATGGATTTTGTTACGGGGTTACCAAGGTCATCTGAACATCATGACGCTATTTGGGTCGTGGTCGACAGATTGACTAAGGTTGCCCACTTCTTACCAGTATCGATTAGTATGTCTTTGGATCGGTTGGCTGAGATTTATGTCCGTGGGATCGTTCGACTCCATGGAGTACCTGTTACTGTTGTGTCAGACAGAGACCCCAGATTCACCAGTAGATTCTGGAAGAGTTTACACGAGGCAATGGGTACGAAGTTAGCTTTTAGTTCAGCATACCATCCTGAGACTGACGGACAGACGGAGCGAACTATACAAACGTTAGAGGATATGTTGCGTGCTTTGACTGTTGACAGAGGTGCTAAATGGGAGTCTTTATTGCCGTACGTCGAGTTTGCGTACAACAACAGTTATCATTCTTCTATTCAGATGGCTCCTTATGAGGCACTATACGGTCGTAAATGTCGTTCCCCTCTTTATTGGGACGACGTCGGAGAACGTCGAGTACTCGGTCCGAAACTGATCGAGGAGAGAGCCGAGCAAGTCGAGTTGATCCGGCAGAGACTCAGAACAACTCAGAGCAGAATGAAATCAACCGCCGGTCATCATCGACGATATTTTCAGTTCGAGGTTGGCGAGCACGCTTTTCACAGGATTAGTCCATTTCGCAGAGTTATTCAATTCGGGAAGAGAGGGAAGTTACACCCTCGGTTCATAGGCCCGTTCGAAGTACTCGAGCGAGTAGGCGATGTTGCGTATCGTTTAGCCTTACCTCCAGAGTTATCCAGTGTTCACAATGTTTTTCATGTCTCTATGTACGCAAGTACGTGTGCGACCCCGATCATGTCATTCCTCATACTGATATTGAGATTCATCCAAACTTATCTTACGAGGAGCGACCGGTAGCTGTGTTGGACCGACAGGTTCGACGGCTCCGGAAGCGTAATGTTCCCCTCGTACGTATTCAGTGGGATCGCCACGGAGCTACTTGGGAGCAGGAGGCTGACATTCGCGCTCGTTTTCCAGACTTTCAGTTCTGATATGTATATTTTCATGTATATATGTTTTGTTTTATATTTCCGAGGACGGAAATATTTTAAGGAGGGTAGATTGTAATAACCCAACTCTTTGTTAATAAGAATGATGTATTATCTTTTATCGATTCCGTTCATTTTCAGCGAATACGTTCGACGTTAAGTCGAAAAGGTTTATCCGGTTAATTACTAATCGAGTTAATTCGATAATTAATTTCCGAACCGTTTAATTTATAAACGGATGTTATTAATCGGGATTAATTATTGATAGCATTAGTATGTTCGGAATTTAATGTCAATGTTATATTAAGTCATGAATGTACTAAGAAGCACTTAGCACGCACGCGTATACGCATGCCGTGCATACGACCACGCACGCAAATGCGCACCGTGTGCATTGTCGCGCACCGCGCATCGCGCGCATCATCAAGCGCCTTAAGCACGCACTTATGATCCCTTAAGCTCAATGATCAAGGTCAAGTAATCCAAGCACTAAGCTTTCAAGTGGCCGTGAGGAATTTTCAAAGGAAAGAGTTTGGGTGCAAGTTGTGCCTATGACTCACCTATGTGCTTGCACACACGGCGCGCCACGGACGCACGGGCGATGACTAAGCCCGTGCATGGCCGCCACCTCGGCTATGACTAAGCTCAAGTGTCCAACCTCAACACACGTGTAAAACACTTGGCGTGAAGGGGAGAGTGCATCATCCATCACCTCTTTGACTTCACTTTCACCTTCGGTTTTCACTTCTATAAATTACCGTACGTGCAAGGTGAGTTCTTATGCATTTTCCTCATGAAAAACCGAGTGTTCTTCAGCAAGAAATAAAGAGAAAAACAGTAAGGAAAAATAAGAGAAAATAGTACAAAATAGCTAAGGAAGGCGGAGGTATCAAGGAAGCTAAGGCGCACACGTTCAAGCACCAAAACCGCACGCAAGTCATCGTGCAATCTTCGACCGAACTGAAGGGTATACCCCTAATTACCTTCTGTTTATATAGTTAAGCTCATTGTAGGGATATCATGTCGATGTC